AGCTTCAGGAACATTCTCAGGCCCATACTTCATCCCATACAAAACTCTTGGTTCTGTTTATCTCCAGGGCTTAACAACTAAGAAATTCCCACTGGCTTAAATCATGCATTGGCTATTACGTAAGATCTTAGGATAATGTCCTCAATGAATCCTTTCAGTTCTTTTGTTTTTCTCTCTATTGTTTGAGCAAGAGAAGGTAGGGAGTATTTCAGACAACCTATTTCTATACCCTTAGCTTTGTGATTTTTACCAAATTATTTCCACTGGGCAAAAGTCTGAACTCCATGAGAGCAGAGGCTGGGCTCCCTGACACCCTTCAGACTCTCACTCAAGGTCATGGGATCTGGTTTAGTGCCTTCCCTGAGTGCTATTAACTAGCCAAGGCCAGCAATTGAGGAAGCCACTTGGTCCTCCCACACTCTTCCACTACCTGGGTCCTACAAACACATAGGACCCTTGGTGTTTAGCCCTTGCCCACCCAGGTCCTGAGGACCTTCTGCTAATGATCTACCCTACCCTGCTCCTGTCACTTCATAGAAATAGCTCCAAAGCTCCGGGGGAACAGGACAATAGCTTCTTCTCTGCTAACAGTCACACCAGAACATTCGGGCTGAGGAGGGAGGGAAGACAGGCATGACTCCAAAATCTCTGCCCCTCACCCAAGCAGCTCTCCCCCCACTCCAGCCCTCTTCTGCAAGTGAAAACACATCAAACAACTCTGTTCAAAACAGTTTATTTTATTTTATTTTTTTTTTGTCAGACAAACACATTGATTTCTGGACCACAGTAGAGGATGGAAACCTTTCACAAACTTATTTATTTGAAAATACAGATATAAAATTATACTTTCCACATCTGTGATGTGAGAGACTGCCATCCACATAGTAATTTTTTACAACAGGGCTTTAAGAAAGCCACACACAAAGACCTGAAATCTGCTTGAGATATATATATATATAGATACATATATATGTATATATATAAAAAAAATACTCACTACCAAAGTTCTCATCAGTTTCATACTAAAGTATAAAAGTAAGGGTGAGGTCAGCCACAGTGCTAGGGAAAGTTTTATTTAGATACATTTATGTCCACATGAAACGCTTAGACTTGCATCCTATTACATATGGAATTCTGAGTTTACAATACACCATGAACGGCAGATTGGCTAGCCCACGCTACTCAAGAGGACACTCACAGACTCCACACAGGATGGTACAGTATGTACAGAATACAGTAGGCCAGAGCCTGCCTGGGAGGTTCTGCAACTTTTGTCTCTCAGTCCCCATCCCCCTCCCCTGCCACACCCCGGCCTCCCAGAGCTGAAATCCTATCTGAGACAATACATTCTGATTATTTGATAGCCGAGTGGATTAGGGTTGCTCCCCTAGAGGAGTGGGTTTTATATATGTTTTTATGTTTTAGTTTACTTATTTTTTTTTTTTTTTGGTAACAAAAAAAAAAAAAAAAAAAGGAAAGAAAAGGAAAACAAACGTATTAAAGTATTGCTTAACTTCCAGAGGCTCCTTATGTAGTGTCTGGGCCCAGGACGGGACTAAGCTTGTTCTCTGTGGCAGGGGGGGAGGGGACCTGCCAGTGTCTCTCTTCAATGTGCTTTGCCTGTGGTCTACCTCCCTCCTCTGCCCACTGCTCTCCCCTTGCTTTTGCCTTCCTTGGCAGATAGCCTGGCTTGCAAAGCACATTCAAGGAAAAAAATTTCCCCTCCCTTGCCAGCCCCCCATCTCCCTCTGTCCCTGTGTGCCACTTCCAACCGATAAAGAGAAGTATGAGTTAGTGTTTCTTTTGTAAACAATTTCATATGCAATATAATACAGAAAGCATGGCTGACCTTCAATAAAAAATGTAGTAAACTATATTGCTTTATTCTTGAATATGCTGCAGTGAGTGAATGGCAGAATGAAGCAGTGTGGTGGTGGTGGTGGTGGAGGCTAAGTCCCTAGCCCTCGTTTGCACTAAAGATCAAAATAGGTTTTATTTTTCTATTTGGAACCAAAAATAATCCCCCCACCCCCAAATGAAAAATAATAAAAAAACAAACAAAAAGAAAAGAAAAAGAAACTCCCCCCCAAATCAAAAACCCCCAAAACAAAAACAAAACAAAACCCCAAACAAAAACTGAACACCTTTCAGGTCATTAGAACCAACAATTACCCAATGATTTTTATACTAATCTAGCAAGATGTGTGTAACATTCACTGGCTGTGAATTGCTGTGCAGTGAAACATTAAATTGACAGCAATAGAGCCATGCTACCTTAAAGTCCAAGCTACAAGTTCAAATTAAGATGAAGGTTATGAAGGATAAAAACGCAAAGGCCTGTTGGAGCTTCGTTTGAATCAAGCCAATGAGCGACTGGGATAGAGCACGAGGCTGTTTGGTTTTCCCAACGGGTGCGAGGAAGGCCACAAACCAAGCCTGCGGAGGTCCTGCAGAGGAGACCAAAGGCTTGGTCATCTCCATTGGCCCAAGTCCAGGTAGAACAAACCAGGAATGGGTCCAGGAGCTAATGCCACTCGCTCTCCTCTGCTCGGGAGGAGAGGGGTTCGGGGGTCTCAGGCAGATGGATCTGGAAGCCAGAAAGTCACCCGGTGGGTATTTAATAATTCCGGGGAAAAGCCATCAGCCAAGAGGGTATCTCCCCCAGGGAAGGCGAAAAGGTGGTTCCCATGTTCGTCATTGAGCTTAACTAAAACAAAGACAAGGCTGAGCATCAGTGCTAAAAGAATTTACAAAAATCTTTCGAAATGGACTTCTAGATGAGTGGGGGGACTAACGTGAACCTTAACCTAGGTAGCCACATTAAAACATATCAGATTTCCACGAGATTTGTGCTATGGGCTACTGGGTCTCTTCAAAAGGTATATAAACATCTAAAACATATTCACACAGATTATCAATTTCTTCTGAGCATTCTTAAAAAAATATTTTTTCTCTTAGTAAAATCATTTTAATATACCATGCCTCCCTCTTTTAAAAAATAAATTAAAAAAATCCAGTTTTGCATATCTAGCATTAGCATTTAAGGTAGTATGGCACACCCGATCACAGTGAGGGGGGTGGGAATCTATAAAACGCCGTAAGAGTCTGCCGGCATTTTAACATGGTGAGACCTTGGGTTAGTTGAAACCACATCAGATCAGCAAAATTAAAATCAAACTTGAAATTGAAAAAAAAAAAAAAGAAAGAAAAAAACTGCCCCAAAATTATTAGCTTTTTTTTTTTTTTTCCTTTTTTTCTTTTTTTGATAAATAAGAGAAAGTTCTATCCTTACTGGTCCTAAATCGGAATAACTATGTCTAATTTTTTTAAACTTTAATTACGTTATACCTATCAATATGTACTAGAAGAAAGAGGAGAAAAAAAGTCACTACACTAGTACCAGGACAGCACGCTTACGAGATAGCCATTTTATACATTATTAACAGACAATGATCAACGAAGAATCTTCTATGAGGTGATGGGGGAGGCAGAGAAAAGGAAGGGGAATACAGTACATCACGACATGGACAAAATAGTCATTAAATTCCCTAGTCTAGACACTGAATTTCTGGGAATTTACTGTCTCTTTTTTGTTTTTTTCTCTGTTTTTTTTTTTTTTTTCTTTTTAAATAAACCTTGTATTTTGTTATTTTATTACTTGAACTAGTTTTGATATTTTAAAAGCGCCCAGCATTTTACTTAACCTGATTGTTCGGAAATTAAAACAAAATGAAACAAAACAAAGAAGGGGAAAAAAAAAATCTTGCCAAACAACCTAGAATTGTATCAGAAAAACGAAAACATGATTTTTTTTTTCTTTTTAAATGTTGTGGCTCTTTAATTAGAATTGAAAAGGCTTTTTTTCTTTCTTTCTGAGTTAGCATTTTGGAATCTTTAGTTTGAAGATGCTTTTGCCCTACACCATGTCTGTGAATGTCTACATTAGTCTACTTTGTTAGTAAAATTTATAAAAATAGGAGTGCAGCAGCTCTTTATAATAAATGTCGCATTCAGTGTCTCTTACTGGCTGTGCCTTAAGTACCAAATTTATAAACGTAACAATTTAAAAAATATTAATAAAACGTCAATATCACATTTTAAAAAAGAAAAAAATATATATCCACACTACAATATGTTTTAATGCCATCTATTGAGTTGTACTTCTACAGTTGCTGTTGCCGACCTATTACCAATATTTAAAAAAAAGTTAAATTAAAAAATATCCTTCATCATAAGTATCTTTCCCCAACCTAGGACCATATATTATAACAGCCAAATGTTAAACATGTGCAAACAGGAAACTGTCAGTTTTTCCCACCAGTCACAGTGCAGTGATGTTTATACTTTTTATTTTTAAAATTCTGTTTACATCTACAATAAATTAAAAAAAAAATTCTTCCATAGCCTCTCTGGTGATACTTGCAGCACTGAGGTATTAAAAAAAATATATAAACCAAAAGGTTGCTTTCCTAATTTGTAAATAGAAAGTGAATGGAGAAAAGGTATTAATGCAGGCTTATCCACTCAGGTGCTGAAATGATTGGACGATAGAAAATGATCGAATATTTAAAAATTAAGACTGAAAAAGAATGTCCCACCCCCCCACCCCCAACCAAGCCAAACAGGTGTGCTTTGAAACTTTAAATATGTTAAATATTAAAATTGTAGCTTTGTTTTTAAAAAACATCTTGGGAAAAGCAGTTTTTTCATATTTTAAATAAAAATCTAACTAGACGGTAACATTTGAAGCTGTGCACAGACAAGAGGTTAATAGGCTGGTATGACACGGATACAGTTCTTAGGTCTATCACACAGACGAAGGAGCTAAACAGTGTTCTAACTTCCTGGGGCCGTCCTGGCAGCTGGGTGTTCTTCAGTCTCAGTAACTGACTGTGTTAACATCCCCTTCCCTCCTCCTTTCACAGAGCATCAAACTGCCTGGGACTGACTCCCTCACAAAAATATTTTTGATTCTCTCTTTCTTAATAGTTTCTATGTAGTTAATGGAATTGTATTTACAACATTTCTTTTTTTTTTTTTTTTTTTTAGAATTCACAATTTCAAAAAACCTTATAATATCACCTCTTTCAACAGAAAAAAAGCACTTATAGAAAAGGAGGACACTCAAAACATTGTCGTCCTTACCTTATTGCCGAAAATAGATATACTTAGGTTAACAAAGAGACATCACAAAAAAGAACCGCTATAGAGTCTGTTAATTAGCCTACTACATCTCACTTCTTCTACAACGCAAAATAGAAAGTGTATGCCCATGGCCCGCTCTGCACTTCGCAACTTCGCTTCAGTGTGTGCTAAAGTTCCACCTGAAAATTCATACAGTCTCAGAACTGGTACCAAAATAGTGAGAGTCATAGTTCCATCTCAGCATCCTTTAAAAGTGAGAACAGAATCAAAACACGCAAAAAAAAATTTTTTTAAAGGAAAAAAAATAAAACCTCCTTAATATAACAATTATACTATGGTTAGCTTTTAACTAGATATTAAAGCTATGTGACTACTGGACTAAGTCAAAATCACTACCAAATGTGATTAAAGAGATTTTAAAAGGACAAGGGGAAGAGAGAAGGGAAAGGGAAACCATCAAGAAAAACAAAACAAAACAAAACCGAAATCATGGGTTATATACACATTGAAAAGCTGTTGTTGTATATTACAGCAGATTCGTGAGATGATGAGATGTAGTCAACCCTCGATCCGAAGTGAGCCGTCTCTGGTTGGGATGGGGAGTGAGGCTGGTGGGGGTCCAGGTCTGAGGACATCACCTAAACAAAGGGCCACTCAGAAACTTCGCCCAGTCTTGCCTGGACATCCAGGTATGCTCTGCAGGGCAGGGAAAGTCAGGGATGCCCGAAGACAGCAGGAAGTGGGAACGGGAGGAGAAAGAAGAAGGTCAGGCGAGTACAGGATGGATTCCAGTGCTTCAGCTTGAGCTTTCAGAGGTCTCCATTCGACTACTGAGTGTGTGCACAAGTGGCCCGGCTAGCAGTTGACTGAGGTCATGGCTTGGGAAATCTGACATCTGTGCCACGCCTGATGCTGGGAAGAGGGCAGCTCTACAACCCATTCTGCGGATGTAATACAGTCCTGCAGAATTCTTGAGGTCATAGGGGGAAATAAGGCCAGCAAACCTGGTGATGCTGGGTGTTGGGCTAGAGAGGTAAATTGCACCTTGACCAGAGATACCTTTTTCATTTAAACTTCTGCTTTCAAAGCTAAATGTTTACAAAAATCAAACAAAACCTTTCTTTATGAGATGCCCACCAACGAATGTTAACTGCAAAGGTAAGTTTGTACTAAAAAAAACCTCTCACTATAAAGCAAAAAACCCCCAAAAGGTCAGGACACTTAAAAAACCAAATAGGAAACGAATACTCAGCTTTGGTTATAGGGAACAAAAACAGGCCCGGGATCCACAGACTTCCTAATGGAGTCTCCCTGAATTTCACTGTGGGCCTGGGTCCCTCTTTTGTCGATGGTACTAAATGTCAAGAGGGTCCTCTCTACTGGGGACAAAGTGTGTGTCTGACCAGTCCTTCTTAACTGCTGTGGACTGTTTGGAGGAGGGTGGGTTGCTATCTCCACTCTAGGTTACATCAATTTTCTCTGGAAACTGAGTCCTAGAGTCGGATGAAGGAACATGGGCAGGGAGCAGCCTCACCCCCACTACCTCCACCCTTCCTTACAGAAGGCCTTGGAGAGCAGAGTGGTGGCAGGGAGTCCTATACCACTCCTCTTTTCCCAGGGGAGAGAGGGAGGGAGCACCGACAGCCTCAGTGTCTGGCCTTCCAAGGACCTGCCGTGCCTGATAGCTGTTTAATCCCCTCCTCGTCTAACTCCAGGGAGAACTGGAGCCATTGTCCAAACCCAAAGTTCTTGGCCATATAATCCTTGCTCTCAGAGCACCTTACTTCCCCTGGGCCCCCAAACCCAGCTTCATTAGTAGCGAGTAGCTGTCCTTTAAACTGTTAGTGGCCTCTGGCTTTGGCCAGCAATGGCTGGGTCAGTGCTCAAAGGGAAGTGGAGGCAAGGGGTGGGAAGAATTCACACACATGGTTTATTTGGTTAAGAGAGGTAGTTGCGTTAGTTGAAGTGATTCCTTAGCAGCAACATTAGAGGAATCGAAGAGGTTATGGAGCTCAACTCAAACTGGTTCCCCAACTGGCTTAGAGCAAGACCCTAGAGAGTCCCGGCTGACTTGGGGCTAGGAGCAATTCTCCCTCTACAAGAAAGGAGCCCTATTAACTGCAACCCCAGAGTAGCCAATTCATCACTAGCTTTACTTGTCCTGTTACCCAATCTCAGGAGTGAAAGGCTCTTGTGCTGCAGAGGGACCCAGGCCCAGCCTCAGCAGTCATGCTCCCTCTTCTGAAAAGACAGACCCATGTTCTGAGCCCCCAGACTAATGTGCAAACACAGTATCCATCTAGAACTTTCACAAGGACAACCCCCTCCCTTCCTGGTCTTCCTTCCAAGAATGACAGCTACTCATATTTAAAGGAGAATGTGGTGAGTGGTTTCCTAACCGACTGCCCCAACCTCCCCTCTCCTCCATTCCACCCCCTTCAGATCCCCATCAAAGTGATTTTTAAAAATGTTTAATTAACTTGAGCTCAGTTTAAAAGGTTAGGAAACTGGCAGGGATCCAAATCCACGTTAGGCAGGTGATGTCGTTAATTTAATTTGCTTTTCGTGTGGTAATCTGGATAATTACTCAGTAGTTACTGGCAAAAGTGTTTTCTTTTCACTAAAAGATGGAGTCTGGCTGTTTGACTGCACGAACCCCATTGGCTGAGCCCCAGAGAGCCCTGGGGAGCTGAAGGAGCCCAGCAACCGGCAAGGTCAGCTCAGAGAGCCTTCAGGAGCAGCCCTGGCCCCCACCCCTGCCCCAGGCTTGGCGGGAGCCCAATGTTTCCTGCCTCCATCCCTCCTGGGACGGGCATGGCATGAGATCTCCTTCCAGTTTCCCACACTCTTGATTGTATTTCAAGACAGCGAAAGATGAAGGGTAGGGAAGATACAGAAAAAGAATCAAAAGAACTATTCAAGGGAGAAAAAAAAGACAGCAAAAGAGGTGGGGGTCATGATTAAAAAGTTGGAGGAAGGGATGAGAGGTTAAAAGACTGAATTTGTTTGGCCCCCACCCCCTTGACAAGGGGTCCAGAAAGAGGAGAGAGAGAGAGAGACGTCGATGTGGTGAGACAAGGGCGTGTGCGTACATGTATGCCCAGGGCCCATACACGTACGGACACGCCGGCAGGGCGGAGACACATGGCAGAGACGGTAATACCTCAGAGTGAGATGGCAACGAAAGCACCTGCTCAATGGTATCCATTTGTAAAGGCCGTTGCAATCAAAGGTCCCTAAAATTGCACAATTGTTAAGGTCATCAGTGCGCTATACATGGGAACAGATTGTCATATTCTGGGAAAGGAAATTATCTCTAGGACTAGCCTGTGGTTGCCAGCATGAATATGTAATTCTGAGACACTGTGCCATTGAGGGACCTGCTCCCACCCTTCCAGCCCCACTTCCCCCCAAAGCTGTCTGCTTACCCAGGGGAAAACCAAGAGCCAGATTCAGAGGGAGGGGTGGGGTTGGGAAATTAGGGGCACAGTTGCCCTGGACCCCGGGGAGCAAAGATAAGAGTCTCTGGTCCACAGTTCCGCTGGGTCCGGCCAGGGAGAAGAAATCCCAGTGCAGACAAACTGTGATGCTCTGTGGTTATTTCAGAAAAACAGCGCAGCCCACAGGTCCAAAGACCTCGGTTTTCAAGAACACATTGGGTCTTGTTTTTGGATGCTGAAAACGGAAATGAGATGTGTTCTAATTGATGTAGCTCTCAGTGAATAATAATATTCCAGATCTGGTACTGCAGTTGATCTGAGGGGATTAGACTCATCCAACCACTGACTTAAGTGATACTGGCCTGGGAGAGGAATTGAACAAGGACCTGGACTGCACCAGCCAGGGCCAACCGAGGTGTGTGTATGCCAGAGCATGTAGAATGTGTGTGTGCACATACGAGTGAGCGAGTGCATGATGAAAGGATGCGTGTGCGTGTGTGTGTGCACACATATAGGAGAGTGTATGTGTATGTGTGTGTGGGACGGGTTTCCGATTCCGGAGGGCACGCATGCTCTAGACTGCCTGCACTGTTTTTTCTCTCAGCACAGCCCCCAAGAAGTGGAGTCTGCTTTCTCCCGGAAGTGAAGTCTGACAGGGACAGGACCAGGGACAGCAGACACTCCCATTTTAGCTCTAAACCAAGCTGCCTCCAAAATGCTGAGGCTGGCGAGGGCAGAGGTTGGCCCATTTTCTGTTTCCAAAATGGAAGGGACAGCGAGCGAGTGGGCTCAGGCACATTCATGCTCACACACACCGGAGGGAGAAGAACAATACAATCTGAAAACAGCATGCAAATCTGTTAAGCAAATTTCCAATGCCTGGATTAGTCAGATTATAGACCACAGAGCATTACAAATATCAAATGCATCTGGCCTTCGGGGGGGCCACAGTGAAAGAATGCAAATGGAAACTTACTTGGAACCTGGAAACTGTAAGAAACATTAGCAAAAGAAACCACCGGGGAGAGGGCTGCACCCACTGCACCTCCCAGCCACCCACGCTGCCACTGGACATTGGGCCGGGGGACTCCATGGACAGAGGTTGCTGAGGTAGGGATTGGGGTTGTTCCAACCTACATGACAAGTGTCCAGACAGCACGGGGCAAGGAGAGGGGCTGCTACTGAGCACCTTCTGTGTTTCCGCGTGTAACAGCTATTCCTGTTAACTCTCATAGTGTTTTCAGGAAGGCATACTCATTCTTATTTTGTGGTCATGGAAATGAGACTCCAGTGGGTTATCTGAGTGGTTCAAGCTTGCATAGTCTGAGGGTGATGGAGTGGTGATTTGACCTGACCTGCCTGGGCTCTTTCCACTCCATCATATAGCCACAGGGAAGTGCTCTGGACACGTCTAGATAGAGGAGCTTCAGCCCTCGGGAGCTGGCCTGATGTCAGTGAGATACACTGTCCTCTCCTCTGCCCCCAACTCTCAGCTCTCCTGGCACACCCTCCCCATGGGGCACAAGGAGCTGGTCAGGAAAGAGGAGGCAGGAAGGCAAGAGAAGGCAGGTACTTACAGCTATGCCGTGGCCGAAGCCGGAGCCCGGCTGTGGGCTGGCCGCACTTATGTAATTCCCCACTCCGGAGTCCTGGCTGGCAGGGCCGTAGAGATCGGCGACAGGTCCTGGGCTGTTGGCCCCCGGGAAGCCTCCGGGCCGCGCCGGGTTGGAGCCTGCCGGGGAAGCGGGCGCGCCAAAATTCGGTTGAGCACTGTAGCTATTCAGGACTGGTGTGCAGAGAATAGAGCTGGGTATGAGGCCAGAAGCCAGGCATGCACCGGTCATTACAAGCCAAACACTCGAGAAAAACAGCTGAGGCCCAACTTCTAACACTCAACCAAGGCCATGCGAAAACATCAGCAGGGACTCAAGAATACTCAGCCCAGGCTACTACTAAGAAGCTTGGAGCTCCAAAAATATAGAGAAGAAAAAAACAGTCATTCAACACACTACGGCAACCAACCGGAGGTGCTTCACTGCCCACCAAATTATCACAATAGAAATAGAGATATATATGGAAGAGAGAGAGAGAGAGAAAGAGAGAGATTTGTTTTCACATCTGAATTGATGCTCATGCAGTCTTCTAGATTTGGGCACGTTGAGACAGCATTCACATCCCATGCAAACTACAAAGGAACTAGTTTTAGACTACACATTGTGTTAATATTGATATTAAAACGTGACAGGAAACAAAGCAATTTGTGTCCAGGAAAAAAAAAATCTCTGGGAAAGGGATTTTTGATTTTTTTTCTTTGTTTGTTTGTTTGTGTGTGTTTCACTTTTTTTGGTTTGTTTTGTTTTTGGATCCATTAAATGACAATTTTTTTTTAAAAGACAAAAAAAAAATCTCCATTTTCCATCCTCCCCCCCCACCAACCACTCTCCCCTCCCCTCTGGCTACTCCCTCCCTTCCCACCCCACCCATTTATATCCCTGCATGAAAGTCGTCCATACTGAACGTGGTCGGAGGATGGGATATGTCATGGAAGTTTGGGCTTCTTAACAGAACAGTAATGATGGCGGCAGAGGGTTCTCTTTTGGGGTGGAGAGCAGGGGATGAAGGGAAGGGATGGGGTGGGGATGGTGAACCTGGAGATGGGGGCCAGAGCTGGGGTGGAAGCCAGTAGTTCTACAGACACCCACACACTCACCTCCTGCAGGAGAAGGAAAGGGGGGATTTAAACTTTTTTCCTTTTGTTTATATATAAAAAAAAGACAAAGAAGTATGAATGCAGAGCATACCGACTGAACCGATTTTTAGCTAAAGCGTATCTATGCAAAATGCCTACTTTTGGTTAGTTATCCTCGTATAAAAACGGCAGACTGAGTAAAAGACAGAGAGGGGACTTGACACCCATGAACCCAGGCAGCGGTGGGGCTGCATATGGGTCGGGGGTGGGGAAGAAGGTGACGCTGTCTCAGAAGTAAAAGACAGAGAGGGGACTTGACACCCATGAACCCAGGCAGCGGTGGGGCTGCATATGGGTCGGGGGGAGCAGAAGGTGACGGTGTCTCAGAGCACCCCCAATGCCTCCCACCATTCCCATCATTCCCTCTCCAATGAGGGCCACAGCCCTTAATTTTGTCTCACCTTTATTTTCTCTCAGTAGCTTAAATTTTCTTTTCCAAATGGAAAAACTTTGTTTTCTAAAATTTTTTAAATTGTAAAAATAAGTCTGTATTGATTTTTAAACCTCAAGATCCTGGGGCTGGCCCTTTTTGGGCTACAGCTACCCAATGTCGAAGAACCAGACAGTCTGAGCACCACGCATTTCCACAGTTCTAGCTCCTAGGGGCTGCTCCTTGCAACATGGCTTCCCCTTTCCGCCTCCCTTGGCACCTCTCCCTCTGTCCCGTGATCAGCCGCCTCCAGTGACAGAAGAAAGCACATACAAGGCAGAGTGGGGTCACTCTAGACCTTGGCCTTGCCTTAGCCAAGGCCCTATGGTTTGAAGCCCTCACATCTCATGCGGCTTGAAGAGCCATCGTGGATTGATTTTCACCCATCTGTCATAGAGATGGGAAGAGATTGATGATACACCCGAGTCAGGCTGGCAAGAGACTAGGACAGGGACATGAAGACACAAAGGAGACCAAACCAAGGGCCTGGCTCCTGACTCAGCAAAGAAAAAGGCTATTGTGGCCTCCAGATGCCCTTGGGACAGGATGCTCTGAGGGGAGCTCCTCTGAAGCTGAATGAGAAAGGAATAAACTGGCCAAGAAGAGAGCAGGTGAAGGAGAGCAAGGGAATGGCTTATGGGCTTATTTGGGAATGAACTGGCAGACCAAGGGGGTGTGGAGTTTTGAATACAGAAGATTAAACTTGCAGATAACATTTGGCCCTTCTTGCTCACGGAGGCAAATGTCAAGCCAAGATATGTAAAAGGTGGCATTATCTTGATCTACCATGCTTTTCTCTTTGGGGCTCAGGAAAATGGGAGCTCCGTTGGGGACTCCTGGTTCATCCAGACAGCTGAAACCCCTCCCTACACAAAGGAACCAACTAGTCCATTCTGTTTTACCGTGATAGGGTTGAGGCAGGGAGAGGAAGGCTCGGTGGAAGACGAAGAGAAAGATTTTTTGGCTTCCTTTCCCTCCTGCCGGAAGACACTAGGCAGGCCACTGATCCAAGGGGTGGGGAGGAGGCACGTTTTGGTCTTGGCTCCTTCCAGGAGGGATAGCCACCAACAAACAAATATAGACTACAGAACCAGGGGAAGCAACACCAGAACAGGACGCAGCATGCCCACGGAGGGATGCTGTCCAGAAGCGTCCCCTCCGTGGGCTTAGAAGACAAGAAGGCTACTGGTATTATGCTCATCCTTGGCAACCTCTCCCAGCTCTGTGTGCCTGGAGACCTGTGGCTTAAGAAGGGAATTTCACAATAAACAGCTCAGTGTAGGCCTGTATCACTCCTCCTTGCTCAGTCATCTTCCATAAAATAACACTAAAATAATCGTGCACAAGTCACTATGTTAGAATGCAGCTTTAAAATGCCAACCCCAGTTTTATTATGTGTTTACTCATAGCAATATCTGTAACCTCCTCCTCCCTGCTCAAAATCACCTTGCAAATATCCCCAGCCAGAGGTGAAAGACAGGCTGCAGGGAGCCCACTAGAGGGCGCAGTCGGCAGGCCAGAAGCACCTGGGCGGTGGAACCAGAAGCCTCATAAGGCTGGGGCAGGGAGGGGAAGTGCCTTGACGCTCTGGGCCAACTCCTCCCTCTCTCTCTGTCAGAAGACCCAGACTCCAGAAAGCACATTAAAGCCTCCGCACAAGCCATCTGGAAACCCGTACATCTTTGAGAAGGTATAAAAAAGCAATGGCTCTGGCTGCTTTGGAAAGGATGGGGACTGCCATGTGGCACATACACTTGTTCAGTAGCTGCTCCTACCGTTTGATGCGGGCAAGGCCTAAGGGACAAAACAATTCTCTCTTTTTGGGAAATCAGTGTAACTCCAGGAATTGACCACTGGCTGGCTCTACAGTAGGTGGGGGTGATTTGAGGACCCCCTCTCCCATCTAAGCTGGGACCTTGAGAGGAGACAGGGGGAGTGTATGGGGAGGGAGCTGAAGTAGGAAGCCAAGTCCCTGACCTCAGAGTGCTTTCTGTGGAAGTGCCCTCCAGTCAGTTCTCAGCTATCTGTCTTAAATGAGGGTGCTTCTCCCCAGGCGCCAAGACTCATTTTAAAAGGCTGGAAATGATCCTGTATACCAGGCTGGGTTGGGGAGAGGGAATAGGACCGTGCTATTAAGTGGGCAAGGACACCCTATCTGCTCGACTAGGAGAAGGGGGAGAGAGAGAGTCAGAAGACCCAGACTCCAGAAAGCACATTAAAGCCTCCGCACAAGCCATCTGGAAACCCGTACATCTTTGAGAAGGTATAAAAAAGCAATGGCTCTGGCTGCTTTGGAAAGGATGGGGACTGCCATGTGGCACATACACTTGTTCAGTAGCTGCTCCTACCGTTTGATGCGGGCAAGGCCTAAGGGACAAAACAATTCTCTCTTTTTGGGAAATCAGTGTAACTCCAGGAATTGACCACTGGCTGGCTCTACAGTAGGTGGGGGTCACTTGAGGACCCCCTCTCCCACTAAGCTGGGACCTTGAGAGGAGACAGGGGGAGTGTATGGGGAGGGAGCTGAAGTAGGAAGCCAAGTCCCTGACCTCAGAGTGCTTTCTGTGGAAGTGCCCTCCAGTCAGTTCTCAGCTATCTGTCTTAAATGAGGGTGCTTCTCCCCAGGCGCCAAGACTCATTTTAAAAGGCTGGAAATGATCCTGTATACCAGGCTGGGTTGGGGAGAGGGAATAGGACCGTGCTATTAAGTGGGCAAGGACACCCTATCTGCTCGTCTAGGAGAAGGGGGAGAGAGAGAGAGAAAGAGAGGGTGAGAGAATACGTGTGTGTGTGTGTGTGTGTGTGTGTGTGTGTGTGTAGGAAGGGAGTCCATATTGTTGAATAAACAGTGCCAAGGTTTATACATTGGCTATTATGACTCTTGTTCCAGAGAGAATGATGCTTTGCAAACATCTCAGCGTTTCTGCGGCAGAGCCGGGAGTATTAAGCGACTTGGGGCAAGCCCGCACTTGAAGGCGGGTGGGGGTGGGGGTGACCAGGCACTCTCCATCCTCAGCAGTTCCCAGCAGTGCCCACAGCAGGGGGTTAACCCTCACTCCCACTCTCCTGCATCCTCTGAGCTTCTCCAGTCCAGGTGGCACCCATGGGGAGCAGCTAGGGTGGGGAGAATGGAAGCACTGGACTTGGAGTCAGAAGACCTGAGCATGACCCCACCCTCCCCTGTGGCTGTGTGCTGTGGTCTAAGCCCCCCATGAACCCATGCCATCTGGAACTTGTGAGTGCTGTCCTTATTCAATCTGACTCACCAGACAGCTACATGAATGGAAAAGAGAAAGTGCTCTGTACCTTGTCAAGTTTACGACAAATTCCCCGTTTCTGAAACAGTTGTGTACACAGAGTCCAGCAAGGCAGGAAGCACTGCAGATTTAGGAAAATCTGATCTAGGAAAATGCAATTCATTTGCCATACAAATCATGAGCTGATTTACAAAAGGATCCAATGCACCTCCTTGGTGCATTTAATCATCTTGGACCGGGGAATGGGGCAGGAAAGCAAGGACACTATGTCTCACTGAGGACAGCAAGAGGAAACGCATCTGAATGCAAGTTGAGGGCATTAGACACCAGATAAAAGGAGGAATTCCCTG